TCATCAATCTTCATTGAAATGCTTTTATTATTATTTTTATTTACTATTCATAAATTAGTATGTTGTATATCTATGTTCTTGTTTAAAAGTATTGTTAGATTTTATCGCAATACTTTTGATTCCCTTAACAGCAGACTATTATCCTATTAAATCAAATGTAAATAAATCTTCCTGGAACAATGCAAATAAAATTTAAAAGAGGAAGAACATTTTTTAAAAATAGTTTGAAACAGTTGTTTCTATTATTATTAGGTTTTTACTTAGCATTATCTGAAAAAAGAGAGATTGTTCAATCAAAGTCACCTTATTGTAGTTAACCTCATAACAGCTATATTAGGGCTCATAGGAAAGGCTTGCAAAAATCTAGATGACCGTAAGATGGCAGCAAACAGTCCTCTGCCCTGCCATAGAATAAAATGTATAACTATCATATTGCTAGGTACTCAGATCTGGATTGCCAAAATGTAGATGACCACTTCAGACAGCAATGAAATGTTTCTCCAGTAACCTATTTTTCATTTAGACACTTTTTGCAACTGGAGATGACACAGTATGGTTCTGCCACTGCAGTTCCAACTGGAGATGACATATTATGGAGATGACATACAGTATTATGTTATCTCCAGTTGGAAAGGGAACATCAGTTTACCTTAGGTTGTCAATAAAATGCATTTATTACTGCTCAAGTTATTTTAGCTTTTTTCCTATATGTTATTTTTTATTAGCTTACAGTATAAAATACAAAAATACAAAAGCAAATAGAAGGAAACAAAGAGGAGGGAAAGAGAAAGAGAGAAGTGTGGAGGGGGGGAGAAAAAAAAGACATTAGCTTCCTATTCTCTCTGTTGCAGTAGAACAGGGCATTAATATCGAACCTCAACTTTTTACTTTTCCATAATAGTACAAAGCTATTTCTATAACAGCAAATCAATCTAATCAGTGAAACCCAAAATCAAGATTTCATTTTTTCCCCACTTCAAACACAAAGTCCAGAAGTGGTTTCCAAGTAGAAACAAAAGTATTTATACTCTTTTTTAAATATCAAAATGGTCAATTTAGCCATCTCTGCTAACTCCATCAACTTTTGTAGCCATTCATCCATGGTGGGAATCAAAATGCCCTTCCATTTTTTGTTATTTTAGCTTTTTCAGATAGTTTCATTTTCCCCACCAGTTTTCTTAGTCTAAGTTTTGAATAGTATTATGCTATTTGATCTCCCGGTAGTTGTTTTTCCACTGAAGTTAATAAACAGCAAATCCCATGCTTGTAGATGAAGACTGAGTGACAGTGGATAACTGCCCACAGTTATTTTAAAAAAAGAAAGATAGGGAGAAGATTTAGTACGATATTTTGTTTCAAAACATGACTTTTAAATAAAAGCTCATGAGAACATGCTTTATGTTTTTATGTACATGCAGAGTCATGCCATCAGATTTTTACCATATTATAAAACTTAGCTATGCTACCCACCACAGCTATTGTCTGCTTGGATTTCTATCACTTCAGGTGATCACTATAGTGCAGGGGTAGGCAACCTTGGCTCTTTTATGAGTCGTGGACTTCAACTACCAGAATTCCTGAGCCAGGTTGCCTACCCCTGCTATAGTGGAATTGTTTTGGCAGCATATGATTCTCCCTAGTAAGATGTGATATTATAAGATGAAATGCCCACAAAGGTTAATTTGTTCATATCATTAAAATTACATTAAGAAAAAAAATTACCTCAGTAGTATAAAAAATTACCTCAGTAGTATAAACTCCCAATAAGCTTAAGTAAGTCTTATTAAGAGACGCCTCATTTCATTTCATTACTTGTAATTAGATAATACCTACTGTGGCATGCTCTAGATCTGAACGTATTTTCTTAATAGGCAGTCCACGACAATATTATCCTGTGTAAACATGAAATCAATTTTTAAAGAGTCTGCCACCAGATGCAGTTGATTGTTTTCTATGTGACAATCAAATTTCTTTCTAATTAAAGATTTTGAAGACTTTAGGAGTACTAGCATTTTTTGCCCACAGGATCTTTCATATTTTTGTGTTGTATGTGCATCAAGAGAGAAACAGAGGTCTCCATGCCAGCTGCTAAAATGTCATCATACATCAGTGCAATCAAGAAAGGAAGCATTTCTTCTCTTTCAGTTGCCAACATATTTGTTCAGACATTTTACTTCTTTTAAAATGTTAAGGCCAGCAGTTTCGCATAAAGAAAAAAAACTATAATGTATTTTCTTCTTCCAGTTCCCTGAGCAGCTCTGACAATAAGCAATTATTTATCAGTATTGACTCCTGTCTTGAATGTGATATTGGAATATTGTATTTCTTTTTTAAAATGTTATTGTAGCATAGCATATTGTGTGCCATATCGAACATCTTGAGTGCAATTCTATTAGCTATTATGATGAAATAATTGATCAGATGAAATAACTTCATAATTGCAGTATAATGATCTGGGCTGATTTAACTCTGGCTCAGAGTTAATGACTTTGCAATTTCTTGGTTGAATTTCCACCAAGGAATATATACATGATGTCACTGAGCTTTTCATCCGTATATACTGGAACCTTGCCCAAACTGCTGCATTCCAGGTACATTAGACTAAAAATCCCATAATGCTATTTATTTACTTATTTATTTAATTTGTTTGCTGCCTCTATCACTCTATAATGCAACTTACAATTAAAACCATAAATATAAAGTATTAAGACATTAACTACCATAATAAAAACTTTAAAAAAAATGAAGGCTATGACAGTACAGAGATATTATCTTTTCCATTAGTCCACCAGCCATCTTCAACACAGATTACCTCTGCCAGGATACCTATAATGCTATTGTCATATTGTCTGGAATACAATGAATGTTGTTGATGTTGTTATTTTATTTATTTGTAGCCTGCCATTATTATTTTTTACAAATAACTCAAGGCAGTGACATATCCAATATGCCTTCCTCTTCCTATTTTCCCCACAACAACCCTGTGAAGTGAGTTGGGCTGAGAGAGAGGGACCGGCTCAAAGTCACCCAGAGGGCTTTCCTGGCTAAGATGGGAGTTACTTTCTAACTGCCCTGCTTTCTAGCCTGGCCCCTTAGTGATTAGACCAAAGGACTCTTATCTGGAGGTATACAAATTAGTAAAATTTGGGGGTTTTATTTATTTTTTAATGAATTTATAACTTTCTTTGGTAAAGGCTAATCTCTAAATAGCATACATAAGCAAGAATCACAGCCACTGAAACAAAAATAGTAACATAGAATAACAGAAATACAATATACAATCATGGCATCAATTATAATTAATATAATATTCCAGGTATTGGGACCTCTACAACAGGGCTTTTCAACCAGTGGTACGGGTACCACCTGTGGTACATTGGCACCTGGCAGGTGGTACGTGACCATCTTAGAAAAGTGGTAGCGGGGGAGGGGAATGAACTGAATCGGTGGCAGCACCGCACAAGCCTGAGCGAGAGATGGCTGGAGCTGCAGGGCTGTCAGGGCTCAGCCGAAGCGCCAGGATCAGTGCCGCTTTCCAGATGATCGGCGCTTCTTCGGGGCTTCAGGGCTCAGTGGAAGCGCCAGGATCAGCGCCAGGCTCCAGCTGGAGCTCAGCGCTGATCCTGGCGCTTCTGCTGAGCCCAGAAGAAGCACCGATCAGCTGGAATGTTGTAGCATCTTCAGGGTCTTGTGATTTACATTCAGATGCTTGGCAACTGATTCATATTTATGACGGTCACAGTGTTCCAGGGTCATGTGAATTGACCAAAAACTGCTGCAACCACCCAACAGATGGGGGGGAATAAAAACCAAACACCCTCCCACCCCACCCCCGCTGCCAATCCTCAACAGAAATGCTCACAA